AAGGTCATGATCAAAAAAAGAGCCTAGATATCATCTTTCAAGAAATCATCCAGGAAAACTGTCCTGTTACTCTAAAACCGGAGAGTAAAGTAGAAATGGAAAGAAGCCACTGATCCCCTCCTAAAAGAGATCCCAAAATGAAAACTCCCAGGAATATTATAGAGAAAATACTGTAAGCAGCCAAAAAGAAGTAATTCAAATATCATGGAGCCGCAGTCAGGATAACAAAAGATTTAGCAGCTTCTACATGAAAGGATCAGAGGGCTTGGAATGATATTCCAGAGGGCAAAAGAACTGGAATTACAACCAAGAATCACCTACCCAGGAAAACTCAGTATAATCCTTCAGGGAAAAAAAATGGATATTCAGTGAAGTAATGGATTTTCAAGCACTCCTCATTGAAATACCAGAGTTGAATAGAAAATTTGACTTTCAGATACAAAGACTCAAGAGAAGCATAAAAAAGATAAACAGGAAAGGGAGATCATAAGGGATTCGATAAGGTTAAACTGTTTATATTCCTACATGGGAAAATCATATTTATAACTCCTAGAAACTTTCTCATTATTAGGGCAATTATAGTATACATAGAAAGCATATGTGTGAGTTGAATGTGATGCTATGATTATCTAAAAAAATAAAAGTAAGGGATGAGAAAGAAGAATGCACTGGGGGAAGGGAAAGGGAGAGGTAGAATGGGATAAATTATCTAATGTAAAAGAGGCCTGAAAGAGATTTTACAGTGGAGGGGGAAATGGAGGAAGTGGGGAGGGAAGCACATGAACCTTACTGTCATCAGAATTGGCTTAAAGAGGGAATAATATACACGTTCATTTGGATGTAGAAATATATCTTACCATACAGGAAAATAGGAAGGGAAGGAGACAAGAGAAGGGGGGAGAGGGAGCTAAAAAAGGGAGGGCAGATTGGTGGAGGTAAAAGTCAGAAGCAAAACACTTTTGAGAATGGACAGGGTAGAAGGAGAGAGAGAGAGAGAGAGAGAGAGAGAGAGAGAGAGAGAGAGAGAGAGAGAGAGAGAGAGAGAGAGAGAGAGAGAGTAGGATAAACAGGGGTAAAATAAGGTGGAGGGAAATAGTTGGTAATCATTACTGTGAAAAAATTTTTTACCATGAGTTTATCTGACAAAGACATCATTTCTAAAACATATGGAAAACTAAGTCAAATTTATAGAAATAAGAGCCATTCCTCAATTGATAAATGGTCAAAGGATATGACAGGTAATTTTCAGACGAAGTAATCAAAGCTGTCTATAATCATATGGAAAAAAAAATCCTCTAAATCACTATAGATGAAAGAAATGCAAATCAAAATACCTCTGAGCTACTCCCTCACACCTGTCAGATTGGCTAATATGACAGAAAAGGAAAATGAAAAATGTTGGAGGGGGATGTGGGAAAATTAAAGCACTAACATGCTATTGATGAAATTGTATACTAATTCAGTGATTCTGGAGAGCAGTTTGGAACTATACTTAAAGGGCTATAAAACCATGCATACCCTTTGATCAAGCAATACCAGTACTAGGTCTGTGTCCCAAAGAGATAAAAATCAAAAAGGAAAAGAATTTATGTGTACAAAAATATTTATAGCAGCTCTTTTAGTGGCGGCAAAGAATTGGAAATTGAAGGGATGTCCATCAATTGGGGAATGGCTAAACAAGTTGTTGTATGTGATCATGATGGAATACTATTGTACTTTAAGAAATGATGAGCAGGATGCTCTCAGAAAAGCGTGGAAAGATTAAGTGAACTGATGCAAAGTGAAATGAGCAGAACCAGGAGAACATTATACACAGTAACAGCAATATTGTACGATGATCTACTGTGAATAACTTAGCTATTCTCAGCAATACAATGATCCAAGACAATTCCATAGGTCTTATGATGAAAGGTACTATCGAGAGAAAGAACTGGTAGAGCCAGCATGCAGATCAAAGATGCTTTTTCCTTACTTTCTTTATTTTCCTTCTTGTTTTTGTTGTTGGGTTTTTTTGGGGGGGATGGGCTGTGTTTTCTTTCACAGAATGAGTTACATGGAAATGTGTTTTGTATGACTACACATGTATAACCTATGTCAAATTGCTTGCCTTTTCAATGAGGGAGGGTAGGAGAGAGAGGAAGAAAATTTGGACTCAAAATTTGAAAAAAATGTTAAAATTGTTTTTACATGTACTTGGGAAATATAAAATATTAAATAATATTAAAAACAAATATTGGCCAAGAAAGGACTAATACATCAGTTTATTTTTTAAAAAGTCTGTGTTGCTTCTGACTGCTCTTTCATTTAATCTAGACTTCCTCTTATGCCCCTCTCTCCTTTTCCCTCAACCTCTTTGTCTCCTGCTTCCCTGTTGGGTAAGCTGAGTTCTGTACCCAACTGTGTGTATTATTCCTTCCTTGAAGCAGTTTCAATGATGGTGAGGTTCAAGTATAGCCTCCTCAAACTGTCCCCTCCATTGTTTAAATTCTTCCTTACACAAAATTTCCCCCTTCTTCCTCTTCATTCTTCCCATTTCCCGGTGCATTCCTCTTTTCCATTCTTCTGTTTCCAGAGATCATCCAAACTATTTGCATCATAACTAGGCTTTCTGTCTAGATTCCCTCTAAGACCGCTGGTAATGATAAACTTTTGATGGGTAACATGGATCATCTCCCTATATAAAAATGTAGAAGTTAACCTCTTTTAGTTCTTTATGATTTCTCACTCATAATTACCTTTTTTTGTGCTTTTTATGATGATTATGTTTGTATGTCAGCTGTTCTACTCAACTCTGGGCTTTTCATTAGGAATGTTTCAAAGTCCTTTGTTTTATTAAAGAACCATTTCCTCCCCTGTAATATTATCCTCAGTTTTGCTGGGGAGGTTATTCTTGGTTGTAAACCTAGGTTTTTTTTTGTTGCTTTTGTTTTGCCTTCTGGGATACAATATTCCAAGCTTTCTGTTTCTTATAGTGGTAGCTGCTAAATCTTGTGTGATACTGACTGCTCTATGGTACTTGAATTCTTTCATTTTGGCTGCTGCTTGCAGTGTTTTTCTTTTTCTTTTTTTTCCTTGACCTAGGAGCTCTGAATTTTGGCTAATATTTCTGGGAGTTAATATTTCTGGGAGGTTTTTTTTGGAGATGGGGTTCTTTCAGGAGGTAACAAGTAGATTCTTTCAAATTCTGCTTTGTCCTCTGGTTCTAAAATGTCTGGGAAGTTTTGTTTTATGATTTTTTGAAATATAACATTTGTTCATGGCTTTCAGGTAGTCCATTGAGTTTTAAATTTCTTTGATCTTGAGTCTTAAATCATCTTCCTTTGACCTTTTTCTGGGCCGTTTGTTTTGAAATGAAATACTTCACCTTTCCTTCTTTTTTTAGTCTTTTGGCTTCATTTTTATTATTTCTTGATGTCTCAAAGACTTTTTAGCTTCTGTTTAGTCAAGCAAAGGAGGGGTTCTGTGAGGAGAAGCTGTCTAGGGTGGACATTCCAGGACAAGAAGAGGTCATGCAAAGGATATATTCATTGACATTATTCCTTTAAAATATCAACATTGTATTGAGTCTGGTAGAAACTAGGCATAGACCAACATCTCATACAATATACCAAGATTAGCTCAAAATAGGTACATGATTTAGACATAAAGGGTGATATCATAAGCAAATTAGAGGAGCCTGGAAAAAATTATTTGTCAGGTCTATGGATAGGGAAGAGTTCATGACTGAACAAGAGATATAGAGGTTCACAGGAGGCAAAATCAATAATTTTTATTATGTAAAAATAGAAAGGTTTTGCACAAACAAAATCAATGCAGTCAAATATAGAAGAAAAGCAGAAAACTGGGAAAAACATTTTAAAGCAAGTTTCTTTGATAAAGGTCTCATTTCTCAAATCAGTAGGGAACTCAGTCAAATGTAAAAACAAGAGCCATTCTCCAGTTAACAAATGATCAAAGTATATGACCAGGCAGTTTTCAGAGAAAATAATCAAAATTATCAGTAGTCATATGAAAAAATGCTCTAAATCATTGATAGAGAAATATAAATTAAAAGAATTCTGAGGTACTACTTTATATCAGACTGGCTCAGATGACAGAAAAGGAAACTGACAAGTGCTGAGGGGATGTGGAAAAATAGGGACACTTATGCATGGGTGGAACTGGAACTGGTCCTCCCATTCTGGAGAACAATTTGGAAGTCCACCCAAGGGGCCATAAAACTGTACCTACCCTTTGACCCAGCAATATTGCTATTAGGTCTAAACCCCAAGGAGATCAAAGAGAAAGAAAAAAGACTCATATGTAGAAACGTTTATTTTAGCAGCTGTTTTGTGGTGGCAATGAATTGTAAACTAAGGGGATGCTCATCAGTTGGGCAATGGCTGAACAAGTTATGGTCTACGATTGTGGTGGAATTCTATTGTGCTTATAAGAAATGATGAGCAGGATGCTTTCAGAAAAAAACTTGGAAAGACTTACATGAACTGATGTAAAGTGAAGTGAGCAGAATCACTGGAATAATATGCACGTTTTCAGCAATATTGTAATGACAATCAGCTGTGGAAGGCTTAGTAATAACTGATTAATGCAATGATCCGCCACAGTTCCAAAGAAAGGACTCATGATGAAAAATGCTACCTTACCTCCAGAGAGAGAACAGATAGACTCCGAATGAAGATTGAAGCATATTTTTGTGGCTTTTTGAGGGGAGGGCATGGCTAATGTGGAAGTATGTTTTGCATTACTTCATAAGTATAATAAAGTATCATGTTTTGCATTTTCAGTGGATAAGGGAGGAACTGAAGAGAGGGAGAGAATTCAGAACTAGAACTAAAAATAAAAACAAAATAGACATTGTTTTGCATTTTGGTGAAGAACTTCATTGAGTTTTGTTTTGGGAAATTACATTTCATTATTTTAATTGCATTTTCTTTGTTTCTTTAGAAATACCTGATTATTTTTAATAATCATAAACCTTCCTGTTATATATGTTTCTATAGTACAGAGTTCCTGTGCAGACTTCTGATTCATTTCTGAAGCTTCCATGTCCTTTACTCGCTTCTCAATGCTCAGATAACAATCCTGTAGGTAAGTACTCATATGTTCTCTTTCCAATTAAGTCCTATTCTCATTCCCCTTTAAGGTTTGTCATTAGTTTAATGAGTCCACTGCTTGAATTTACAATCCCCTTAATCAGGCTTCTTAATTAGGATTGGGGACTTCTAAGTCTGAAAGCATCTTAGAGGTGATCTAGTCCAAACTTCTCTCTAATACTGGGTATCCCATCTTTAACACCTCTGACAGGTTGTAGTTATCCAGCCTTTGCTTGAAGACTTTCAGGGAGTTAGTTCACTAATCTGCCCGATGAGGTGGCTCATTTTGTTTTGGACACTTCTAGTTGCTCTAACATCTTTTCTCATGCTGGCCTGAAGTTGGCTTCCCTGTAACTTCTGCCATCTTGTCTTCATTCTGCTCTCTGGAGTAACAGAGCAACCATTCTGATATTCTAAGATGGTCACATTTCCCACCTACATCTTAAACTGGACATGTGATTCTTCCTCATCCTTGGGGCTCAGTTGCCCACTTCACAGTGCTGTGGGCAAGTGGGCTTCTCTCCTCTGGCTGTCTTCCCACAGGCAGCTCATCAGTGTACCCAATGGACTCATTTCTTGAGTGAAGCTCCTCAGCCACGTGCTGTGCCCAGGGAGAAAAATCAGCCTCGGCTGCAGACCATTCATAGCTTCTTTCACAACTTGCTTTGCCCTCTGTTTTCTCTTTCATAGTTGCAACGGGGCATTTCCTTCAGCATCTGCTTTTAGAAATTTCTTTGTTTTGCTTATCTTTTCTTGGTTATTCTGCTGTGATTGCCAGGCTTTCTGATGAACGAGGTCTTTCGATGTAACAGAAGAGTAACTCTGGAGCAGTGTGGCGAAGACAGAGCCCTCAGCATGGGTCAGTACATTCAGCCCAAGATTTTGGCCGTAAGTTCAGCTTGGAAATGCCCCTGCTTACTTAACTTCATGTTCTTCATATTGGTCATGACACTTCCTCCTCTGTGATTTCCAGACTCTTAACAGGCTAGTTCAGTAAATGAAAGAAGTACAAAGCATCTATTAAGCCCTTACTGTGTGCCAAGCACTGTCCTAAAAAACCAGGATACAGACATGAAAGCAGGTCATTTCCCTCTCAGCCTTCTAGGGTGGTTGTGATGATAAAATGAGGCAATATCTAGCTCTTTGCAAACCCTAAAAATGCTGCATAAATGCCAGCTGCTAATTGTAGATGTTCATTATTATTTTAATGGGGGAGATTACTCAAAGAGAAGAGTGACTGCAGAGCTGTAGTCTAGGAATTCCTACAAATGGTGAGAACAATAAAGCAGTTTATTTGTTACACTGATCTGATTACAGTTTTCAGAGAAAGAGATGAGGTTAAAGTCTGCATCACCTTACTTATTACTAGTCAGCTCTTGCCTTTTAACTGATTTCTGCACTTCCATCTTCTGAACACCTGGTATAGCTCCATGAGAGTAATCTTTCTGTCATGTTTCATGGTCAAAAATAGTGACTCCTCCAAACTCTAACCCAGCATTTCTGCACTTCCATAACAGGCCCTAAGCTACCATTCCAACCTTTTTCTCACTGTTCTGCAACACCAGCCTCCTACTCTGGCCAGGCTTAGAACATGTTTTGCATGTTCCCACTTCCATGCCATCTCTTGCAAGGGAACCCTTTCAGTTCCCCTCTGCCTTTCTAAATCCTACCCCTCCTTCAAGGCCTGGCTCACACTCAGCCTACATTGTTTCTCCAAACACTCCAGAACACTGATTTCTCTTCCTTCTGAACTCAGCATCATAGAATCTTAGATTTAGAAGACATCTGGTCATCTTGAGGTCACAGGATAAAGAGATTTAGAGCAGGAAGGGACCTTTGAAATCATCTAGTTCAGTCCCCTACTCACTTTGCTTATTATCCTTTCTACTGAAAGTATACTTTTACCATATTCTGTCTTGTACTGGTAGTTAAATTTTTCATATGTTTATAGCTTAAGGACTGTTAAGGGTTCCCCCAAACTTGTTTTTTTGAGTTGCCGTATTTTCTAGAAACACTAGCCTGAATGTGTCAAGGGCAACCCCCTCCTCCAGCTGGTATAATTTGTTGTTTGCATCCCAAACTGGACTCCCTGTGTGTTCTTTGGAGTCAAGACAGGCACCAGTCAGTCTGTGCTAGGCTGAGAAGCTGTTCGTGCAGCTGGGACCCTGTAGATAAGCAGACCCTCCTCCTCTCTTCAAAGTCTAGCAGTTCTCAAGGGAAAAGAATGCAAGGGGCAGCTAGGTGACGTAGTGGATAGAGCTCCGGCCTTGGAGTCGGGAGGACCTGAGTTCAAATGCGCCTCAGACACTTGACACAGCTGTGTGACCCTGGGCAAGTCACTTAACCCCACAGCCTAGCAAAAAAAAAGAAAAAAGAACGCAGCTTTTACCAGTCATTTTGCTCCTCTCCTTTGAGAGGGGTTTTGTCCTTTTTCCACTTATACTGCACCTTTCCCCCTCCCATGCCATGCCCCTTTGGGTGAAGCTTACAGGTATCCAGCTGTCATAAATATGCAGACTTCTGTGTGGATTGTGAACTCTTTGGGTTTCTACATGCACGTTCATTTCTCTTGTGATAAACCTGGTTTTCATCTAAGTTTCCTGAAGTTGTGATTGCCTGTTGACATTTCTCATCTACCCACCTTATTCATAAGGGCCTGCAGAGCAGCAGCCATGTTCTGTATAGCTTTTCCCCTTCCCTTAGCCTCTAGTACCTTGCACATAGGAGGTACTCAAAAAATACTTGTTAATTAATTGATTGAGAAGAAGTTTAAGTATTCCTCAAGGCTAGCAATGTCCGGTGGGTTGGCTGATGCCCTGCTCTGTTTAGGAATACATTTGCAAACAAAATGGGAAACTAGTTTATTATCAATGTGATAAGAATGTTGATGATACGTTCACATTACAGGAAATGCAGTTATTTTTCTTTTTTCAGAATCTTCAAGAAAAAAAACAACTTAGGTATAAGAACAGGTGTTAAAAAGGCAAGAAAAAAAAGAAAAGAAAAAAAGGCAGGAAAAATAATTATTTTCTGTGATCCACAGATATAACTCTTTCCGTTTCCTTTTTGTCTAGGAACCTAATTCAAGTAAAGAGGTAAGAAGCCATGTCTTAGAGGAGAAAAGGCTACTTATGGTAAAACAAAACAACAGCAAAACTTGCTTTTAATATCTTTTAAATAAATATGTTTATGATTAGAAATGGTGCCTTGTTACTAATAGAAAGGATTCGGCTAAAAAGCAAGGTAGGTGCAAATAAGGAGTTCCTAGTACACCTTCCCTATCCTTTTGTACCGTTTAAACCATTTAAGCTGATCTGGTTTTGAAGTTTTACAGTTTTCTTTGTGTTGAAGTTGCAGATAGCCTTCACTGACAAATGAATAGAATTAGATCCTATATTTTCTGGTTTCCTTAGGGGACTTAAATGGTCTCTTGTCAAAGTGATGATTAGCAACCAGGATGCAGTGTGCCCACTGGGGATTTATAAATTGAATTCAGTGAACCTACCACATTTTAGGAAGTTATTTAATGTTAATATAACATTTGGTGATTTGTGGGTGAATGGTAGTCAAGGAAAGGCTCTGCCAGGGTTGTACCCGCCTTGCTGTGTCCCTCCACAACCTCACTGGTTGTGGAACCTGTCAGAACTAGAAGGGAGGAAAAACAAAAGTCGGGGCAGCTAGGTGGCGCAGTGAATAGAGCACCGGCCCTGAAGTCAGGAGGACCTGAGTTCAAATCTGGCCTCTGACCAAACACTTGACACTTACTAGCTGTGTGACCCTAGGCAAGTCACTTAACCCCAGTTGCCTTAAAAACAAACAAAGAAAAAAAAGCCCAGAAAAACAAAAGTCACCTGTTCCTTCCCTTTCCATTGTCCCTAGTCACCAGGGAAGGGTTATGGTCTTGGTACAGTCACTGGGGCTTTGTTCAAAAAAGCAACTGCTAGAGTGTGTTCGATAGGCAGGACAGCTTATTCAGGGCTTCATCGTATCTTTATTGCTGTGTCTAGAAATCATTAGTAGTCATGGGGATGGAACATCTTGGAGGGCCTGTACCTTTGAGTCATTATAAAAAAATATATATTTGTTAAATTGTTCGTGTTAAATCTATTTGGATGGATTCTATCTTTTGGAATAATGGTCTTTTGGGCCTGGTTCCAGCATATGGGGCTGTTCCCTTAGACTCATTGTTCAAGAATCCATAACGACCAGCTTTCCAGCTGTTCTGCTGCAACATTGTTCTGACATTCCCCCCAAGGATAATGAAATGGCTTAATCAAGTTCATCTCCTCCATACTAGGCACAGCGCTTTCTCACAAAGATATTTGAATTGAAGGCGCTCTGTTCTTAGCATTTCTGTCAGTCTCTGGCACCCTCTTCCTAAAAAGAGATGTCCAGTTTGAGGTTAAAGCTTTCATTCACTGTCACCCAGTACATTTAGGGTCACTAACCCAAACAGGAAGATTTTTATATTCAGTGATGAATTAGTAATTAATCTATAAATTATGAAATAGGAGTGGACACACCCAGTTCTTTGGGTACTTACCAGGAAAGACAACAATCTATGGTGGGAAATGGGGTGGCAGTCACACTTTAATTAAATACAGAGGGCATGGGGGGGTAAAAAACCCAGAAAGGTGGAGTCAAGTGTCAAAAAGTGGTAGAGAGACAGACGGTGGCCTGGGGACCACAGATGGGATCAGGAAGAGGAGGCGGAGGAGGAGAGGCAGAGCGCATCCCTCAGGTAAGCATGGGCTAGAGTTGGGAGCACTCTGTAGCCTGGACCGACAGAGATACAGGAGGCTTTGGGGGGCAGGAGTTTGAGGTGTCATTTTATAGGATTTTTTGGGGAAGCCAGACCAACTACTCTTAATTGGGCCACCTTGCAGTTAGTTCACTGACACATCTAAATCAGCTCAAAGTCATCGGTAACGTTTCAGAGTCCTTATCCTAAAGTTATCAGCATCTTTTTGATGTTCTGCTGGTCTGGAGCTGTGGAGGTCGGGATTTTGTCGGAAGTTTATCCATCACAGAACCCAAACCTTGACAAACAGCACCTCGATGGTTTCTCCTGATTGGGCACATCTTAACGGGATGTGAATTTTAGTTAACGTGTGATACAGTTTGTAGATTGTGCTCCTCTGGTCTTTGGGATGGTTTGTACATGTCTTCTAGGTTTCTCTTTGTGATCTTATTTCCTGCTATTGCTATTTTATATTGGCTGCCTATAAAATTTGCTTTCTATACTGACCAGAAGAGGGGAGGCTGGTCAGGGGTCACAAACAAGATACAATTTTAAGGGCATCTAGGTGGTGCAGCAGATAGAGCACCAGCCCTGGAGTCAGGAGGACCTGAGTTCAAATCCGGCCTCAGACCAAACACTCGACACTTACTAGCTGGGTGACCCTGGACAAGTCACCTAACCCCAATTGCTTAAAAAAAAGATACAATTTTAACACAAGTGAGAAGAACCTGGCTTGACTTATGATGATCTGAACAAGGAATCCATATATAATAGTACAAGAGTCTCCATCTGTCTTCCAGATCTAGGCACTAGCTAACAGGCACTCCTTTGGGTGCTCTTAGACATGTAAGAGCCACTTATTTTATGCAGATAGAAAACTTTAATTAGTTTTGCCCTTTGGTTACATGTGCTATTGAGCCAAAGTGTCTTTAACATTGAACTATAGATGTCATAGGAGATAGAATATATGTTAAAGTCAAACTAACAGGTATTGCAAAGGTTTATAGCTATGGAACTTAGACGTAGATACATGTTTTTGTGAAGTGTGTTGAACAATCCATTTATAACACTTTGCAGATTCCTGTCACTGTCCGGGCTGTATTTCTGCAATCTCTAAATAAAACAGTGACTCAGAATACCCAGAGTGATGCTCTTTTGCATCCCACTTTTGTCAATATCAATGGTCTGAAAGCCTGCACTAATGTTGTTCTTAAGGTAGGTGCCTGATTTTGTTTTTTTGGTGAAGCTTTATTTATTTAAGGCAAAATCAAACTGCATGCCTTGGGACAGTCATCAGAAACTCCTCCCCAAATGTTGTTTTTTCAGTAGACCACATTGTTTCCCATTTTTGTTTGTTCTCCTGTTGGCATCTAGGAGTCGATTATCTTGTGAAGATAGATTAATTAATTATGCTTCATCCTGAAGCCTCCAAGGAGTAAATGGTGACAGTGACAGTTTGTGCCCAAAGATTGAATTTATCAACTGCTGAAAGGAAACTTGCTTTCTATACTAACTAGAAGAGAGGAGGGTGGTCAGAGGTGTGTCCTTTGTGTAACGGCATGGAATGGACATTGGCTGTTGGGTTTGACCTGGGCTTTCTTGCCCCTCTGTGTTGACTCTATTTACATTGTAATTGTCATTTTGTATGTTGCTCTTTGGGTCCCCCAAACATTGGTCACATTTTGTTTCCAGCTTTTAAAATGTTAGACTTGAATGGCAAACATTCAAAGTGTGAACGACGAGATTAGTTATATTCTGCAAATGCCAGTGGGTGCGCGGTGCACAAAGTATCCATTTGGGTATCCTCTGACTTGAGCGCTCATCCTTGTTTATGGTGTGAGGGGCATGCCTGAGACTGTGGTGGGTTTCATGACCCAGTTGAGATTGTAGTGGAGAAATAAGTCTCCAAGAAGTGTAGGAACAGAGAAGGATTTGTTCTTTCTATTTTCTTTAGTATTTTTCAGTATGCTAAATGTAGCTGCTAAAATGAGAGACTTGGGTAACTTCTCCAAGGTCACAATAGCTAGCTATGTGCCCTTGGCCAGGTTATTTTCCCTCTTGGGCCTTACTTTCCCCATCTGTGAAAGAAGAAGAGGATTAGATTACATGATCTCCAAGGTCCATCCAGCTCCATAGTTCTGTGAGTATATGCTTTGATTCTAAATGGAAAGGGGCCATAAGTTGTGTGTGGTTTTATTTTCAGTTAAAGTACAGCATCACATACACAGAGGCAGGTGAAATCACAAAGGCTGATATCCATTTCCTTCTTGGGACAGTCAGCAGCTCAATGCTTCCACTCCAACAGCAATTTCAGGTTCAATTTCTTCAGGTAATTTTTGTCATTTTAACACAGATGCTTGCCAAGTGATTAAAATCATCATATTTTAAGACTTAAAACCTCAGGTTGTAAAGTGCCAACCATAACGTGGTTTGTGCTGAACACTGGAGTCATTTGTAGTAGAGCTTTATGGTGGAATTGTGTTAATTTCTTTTTCTCTTAGGGACAACACACTCTTGTTATTTTACAGCAAGATGTGCGCCTGCATTAAGTAGTTTTATTTGTAGTTGTTTGTGGGGGAGGACGTCTTATTGTTTGATATTCTAGGCTTTATTAAAGCTCTCAATTTTTTCTGCCTTTTTCTGAATAAAAATAAGATTTTTCTTTGTTATATTTTGTCTTTCAGCAAAATATTAAGTCATTCCCTCTCAGTGGAAATCCAGGTTATGTTCCGGGACTACCATTAATAGCTGGATTTGAGATAGAATATCCTTTTTGGTTGTCTATTAGGTTTGCCAATATTTGGAGATCATGTCTTGTCTCTGTATATTTTTAAGTCCTCTAGACTATTTAGGGAAATGGGGGCATTTTTTCCCAGCTAGGACTTACTGAGACCAATTCTGCCCCAGTTACTGATCTAGCTGCATATTAAGGGGAAACTTTTGGAGACTGGGGAAAATGTTTTAGTAAACAGAAAATTATGACTCACGGTAGAAATGTCTGCGGACCCCAGAGCCTGTGATGACTTTGTATTTGGTTGTGGAACCTGTAGTAAGTGGAAGGAATGTGGGACAAGGGTCAGGTGACACATGACTCTGTATCTGCCCCGTTGGGTGCACGCTTTCACTGACAAGTGTGCACGGTCTTTGGGCACCAGCTTGTTCTCTTCCCCAATACTTGCTGGCTTTCATGAGTTTCTGTAAGTGCTACTTATTTAATTAAATCTTGGGATTTTGCTCTTGTTCATACGTTCAGTAATGTCCGGCTCTTTGTGTCTGTCTCTTCATGTCCGTATGGGATTTTCTTGGCAAGGATACTGGAGCGGTTTGCCATTTCCTTCTCCAGTGGATTAAGACAAACAAAGGTTAAGTGACTTGCTCAGGATTGCACAGCTAAAGTATCTGAGGGTGGATTTGAACTCAGATCTTCCCGACTCCAGGCCCAGTGCTCTATCCACTGAGCCATCTAGTTGCCCCAAATCTGGAGATACTAATGTGCATAAGAGATTTATGAACCAGTTTAGTGATTATGAAAATCTGCAGCTGACACTGAGTGAAGCCCGTTTTTCATCTCATCTCTTCCTCAGCTGATACTAGTCAATGAAAATAGTCATAATGATGCCCTGAAGAAAGTACTGAAAAACTCATATGTATCTAGGGAACTTGAGGCACAGGAAAGCTGCATCTTTGTCTTGCCAGAGGCTGCCTGAAAGGCACTATAAAAGGCAGTGAAGACTGGGCCTCAAATATACAAAATATATATAAAATGTTTTAGGCTACTTATGCCCACCTAGTGCTAGAATGGCAGCCTGGTGGTCTAGAAATCATAGCAGATTGGAGACAGAAGACCTGGGTTCAAGTGTGAGCTCTGCTGCTTATCAGCTTCATTTTTATCACCATCTTTTGGCTTTGTATCACTTACATTTATTTCTTAATACGTACCTCCCTTTTCCTGCCCCTTTCTTAGCGTAGTTCCAAATTGCTTTCCAGAATGGTTGAACCAATTCACAGCTTGGCTAATAGTCCGTTAGTGTGTTTGAAGGGCACATCTCCATATCTCTATAAGCCTCAGTTTCCTCTTCTGTTAAACGTGGATAAGAATTCTCCCATTGTTTAACAAATAGGGTTTTGTGACCCGAAAAGGAGCTTTATAAACTGCATAACACTCTACAGTTATGAACCATTGGTGTTATATCTTTAGCATTGGTTGTATTTTCTCTTAACTCTGTGAACATCTCAGATTGTTCAGAGTACTAATAGATATGGACAGTTTACCATTTTTCACAGCACAGCTGAGCAGAACTGTTTATTAGCAGAAGGACTTAGAAAACCAGTAGTTTTTGGTTATAATATGGTGACTGGATGCAAAATAAGGTAAGAGATTAATCTTTTACCATTTAACAATCACGTTTCTGATGATTAGATAATAAAATATTACTACCTTTTTCTGGGTACATGAAAAGAACCCTGAAACAAACAGAAAACCCCTTTAACTCTGAACAAGCTCAGTTGGTATGAAATCCATAATGTAGTTTCTGGTTTCACTGTTACTCAGTCTATCTAGCAGGCACCCTCCCTGCCAAGATGGTTCTCCACCCTCTGTCCAGGAGAAACCTGAGCCTGCCTCAGGGCAGGAGTGAAAACTCACAATCCATTCTCTGTCTTTGGCCCCCATCCATGAGTCTTGACGTCTGACCTCTTAACGCATTGTCCCTCACCTCCCCTTCCCATCTCCTGGTCTTTCTCTAGACAGGGATTCTTAAACTTTTTCCTCTCGCAACCCCTTCAGCGCTTCTTAAACCGTGGGTCACCGACAGCAGCAGGAAACAGTTAATGAATCAGTACCGTCATGGCTACTGAGAAGTGTGACAGTTACTCACTTTGATTAAGCACCCACTGTATGCCAGGCCTTGTGTTTGCCACTGGGGATTTACAAAGACAAGGATGAAACCCTCGAGCAGCATACATTCTATTGGAGAAGACAACAGGCACCAGTCTAAGTGTATACAAAATACACTTAGAATGAACACAGCGTAATTTGGGGTGGGGGAGGCACTATCAGAGCTGTGGGGGAGCCAAGGCCTCAGGCAGAAGGAAGTGCTTTGGCAGAGCTTTAAAGGAAAGAGGAAGAAGTAGAGGTGGAAAAGATGGGCATTCTGGGCATGGGGGATGGCTAGTGCAAAGGCATTTCCATGGGACAGAGAGCATCCTCTGTAACAGATGTCTAGGTGAATGTAGTGATTGGGAATAGTAAAGATTCAGTTTTGAAAGTGGGTTGTGATTCCAATCGTGATAGGCTTTAAATGCCTAGCAGAGGAGTGTGTACTCTTGGAGGTAATAGATAGGTACTCTTGTTTGCTGAATAGGAGGTCTGTGATTTTTGAAAATCAGCTTGGCTGCTGTGGGGAAGATGGACTGGAGTGGGAAGAGACTGGAGGCAGGTCTGCCAGTCAGTAGGTAATTATAATAGGCTAGGTGAGAAGAGATGAAGGTGGGAATTAAGATGGAGATCTGTGAGCAGAGACTTGGGGATGATTACAAGAAATGTGGAGGCAGAAAGGAGCTGACCTGGAATGTTGGATGTATAGAATGAGAGAGAAGGATGGTTGTTCTAAGCTTGTAAACCTGGGGACTGGAAGATTGGTGGTCCCTTTAATAGACCTAGGAGACTAGGAAAATGCAGAAGAGGCATGGGTTTGGGGAGAAAGAGAATGAATTCTGTTGTGGGTGTGTTGAGTTTGAGATGCCAGCTCCCAGTGTCCAGTAGGCAGTTGGTGATATGGGACTGGAGTTGTGGGAGAGGCTAGGGATGGACCTAAATGTTTTCTGCAAAGAGGATCATTAAGCTCAAGGGAGCTAAGGAGATTCACTGAGAGAGAGTGTAGGGGGAGGAGAGGTGGCCTGCTCTTTGGGTGCACGCTGTGAGGAGGCACGGCGTGGATGTTTCTCCAGGTAGGCAAACCGAGAGAGAACAGCAGCTTGAAAACCAGAGAAGAGAAGAGAGCGTCCAGGTGCAGAGATGATTAGTAGTGCTTCATGCCACAAAGAGGTCTGGAAGCACGAAGACTGAGGAAATGCCTTTAGATACGGGCATGAAAAGGTCCTCCATAACTGTGGAGAAAGCAGTACAATCTAGCTATGAGGCTGGAAGTCGGGCTGCAAAGGATCAAGGAGTGGTTGAGAGTAGAGGAAGTGAAGGCGGTGAGAGGAGACAGCTTTTTCTAGAAGTGTGATTGTGAGAGGGAGGAGAGATATAGGATGATATCTTGGGGGAGCTGGTCAAGTGCGTAGGTCTTTAAGAGAGACTTGGTAAGGTTTGTAGGCAATAGGGAAGGAACTGGTGGCTAGGTAAAGATGGAAGAGGAGAGAGAGTGAGGGTGATGGTGGGGACAGTTTGCCAGAGCAGGAGGGAATGGAGTCAAGGGTGTTGGGAAGGAGAAGAGAGTAGGGGAAGGGTGATGTCAAGGGGCTCTGAGATATGGAGAAGGGGGATCAGAGAGAGCTCCAGGTGAATGGCCTCGAGATCCTCAGCAGAGAACTAAAGGGGAAGCGTGGGAAGCTTGAGAGGTGTGCAATGAAAGCCAATGTAGTGGTGCGATAGAGCTGCATTTAGGGAGGAGTCAAAGGAGGGGCAATCACATTGTAGTCTGTGCAGTCAGCAGAGTTCTATGGTTTCCTGCAGCTCTCTTCAGAATCCTGTTAGTGGTAGTCAAAGTGGCACTGACGCACGGTTGTGGTTTTGGCCAGGCTTAAGCAGAAATAGGACCGGGGGCAAGGCATTCAACAGTGAAGGGTGGTAGAGAAATGAACTGGTTAATTCTAGTGTTGGGATTGGGAAGGTGGAGCAGGCTGGGCCCCTCGGCCCCCACGCCTGCGGTCTTCTTCCTCCTCTCTGCCTCCAAGCAGACTCTGCGCTGACCGTGTCTTGTGCAGCCGTCACTCCCTCTCCCCCTTGGCTTCTGCCTGTAGTGGAAGTCCCTTCTTCTGCTTTTTATTTCATCCATGTACAGAGTTGTTTGCATGTTGCCTTCTCATTGGAATGTTACCTCCTCGAGGGTAGGGACTGGGTTTTTGCCTTTCTTTGTATACTCAGTGCAAATTGTAAGCATTTGTTTAATGTTTGTTGACTGACTGATACTCTAAAATCCCTGTGACTCCTCAGACCAAAACTCCCTTCCCTAGACACCACTTCCTATATGCATTGTCTCCTCTTGTTAGAATGCAGTCTCCTTGAGAGCAGGGTCACTTTTGGCACATAGTAGATGTTTAATAAATTGTTTTTCATCCATTCATTGGAGTGAAGTGTCTTAGATAAATTGATAAAATACTAGAGAAAAATACTGCCACTATTTGTAATTCACTTCAGTAAGAATGGGAAAATGTGCATTTCCTGTGAATTCACAGCAAGTCTTTCCCTTGCTCCCAATTTTTTTTTTCTGAATTTAAACTATACAATACCCCAGAGAGAACAAACCTGGCTGTGGCTGCTTGGACATCTCTCTGTAATCAAATCCCTAGGATTTGAGTTCTACATTGAGAGACAAGGTTAGCCACTCCCATCCAGTGGAGCTCCTTTTCAGGGGGAAAGAGAGGCAGAAGAGCAGGAGACTGTCAGCATGTCTTTGTTAGGAACTGTCAGCTGGTTAATATTTTGTTTTTTTCTTTCTGAAAGATTGACTAAAACTACCAATTGCCAACTAGTTGGGAGAAGACTAAAAAGATTACTGATGGGGGAGAGCTTCCCAGACTATGTCTCTTCTTTTGGAAATTCTCCTGCCCAGAATTTGCAGGACTGGGTGCCTGTCCGTTTTTCCATGTTTACAGCAAAAGGACAGGTAAAGATAATTCCTAATTCTTGGAGGGTGGTTTTGATTTTTGTTTTCATTAAGATGTCCAGTGTGGCAGGTTGGACTTCTGGACTCACCTGTATAGAAAAGACTCTGAAGAAACAGACACTCTGATATGTTTGAACATTTGTCCTACTATTACTCTCCCTCCCTTGAAATTCATGGCAGAATGGAGAGGATTTGAGGGGGCTGGTGTGGTGTTTGGAAAGGCACAGTGACCTGGGAGTCAGAAAACCTGTTCTGGTTTCTAGTCCTCGGCTCTTCTTTCTCCTCCCTGGGCTTCATGCTCCTTTTCTGGCCACTGCAGAGGTTGGAGGTGTGATAGAGCATCATTTCAGGAGGAGTCAAAGGCGGGTCCAGCTGAGATAAGCAATCACATTGTGGTCTCTGCAGTCTCAGCCTCATTTCTTTTCTCTCTGGCAGTCTATGATTTTTATAACCTCCAGACTGTTTCAAAGGGATCCAGAGGTCTCTGTGATCAGCATCATGACCTTCCGGGGTCACAGGATGTAGGATTAGACTGAGCCCAACCCCTTCTCAATTTGCAGATGAGGAAGCTCCGAGTCATACACAAACAAGTGGCTTCTCTTGTTTACCGCTAGCTCTTTGCCCAGTCTGGGGTAGAGTAAGCCCTTACTACATGTCTGTTGGCTGGGTGACTGAACCTTGGAGTCCTCTGATTCTAAAATCCGGTGCTCTACCCACTCTGCCATGCTGTCAGCAACCAATCATATCAGCTCTTTAGGCTACAGATGCAACCCATACTGAGCACTTTTTGTCCAAAATCCCCAATGAGTTTCATGGGATTGATAACTCTGCTAGCCCCCCCCCCCACTCCCTGTGATGCTTTCCCTGCCCGCCTTTCTCCTTGTCTAGGCTGTAAGGAATGTGCGTGGGCCTCTGTCACTGGAGGCAAGTTCTCCATCTCTGCCTAAGAGGCCGATCTTGCTGGTCTCTCGTGCAGTTGTCTCATACGATTCAGTCTATTTATAGCAGAGGGAGAACGTTGCTAGAAGAGGATCCGCAGGCTCAGACTGGAGTTCTCGGCGTCCCCCTTGGAGATGGTGTCGCTCAGGCCACTCTTCTGAGAAACAAGCAGCTTAGTCCTGAATCGGCTTGGCTGCTTTGGTCAGTTGGGCAAATACAAGACGAGGAGGGAAGTGGCCATAGTTCTTGCCCCCATGTCCTGCTGCCTCTTTGCTAGCTTCTGATGATCTGGCAGGCTCAAGGTTTTGCTGCTTTTCTTCCAAGAAGTATGGACCAGAGAACCTGAATCAGGGTGGACATGTGGACTTTTCCTCCCCTAGCCGCAGTAGGCCCTCTTGCTAGCTTGTATGCTAATAAGCTTCTTAGGCACAAGTTCAACCCCAGGAGTGCCCCTATCCCCAGTGACCTCCGAGGCCCTGCTGTTGGGCACTGAAGGCAGGGGCCAGGGGCTGAAAGGCTTTTAGGAGCTATAGCTCCTTTGCCAGCCCTTTGCTCTTTCCCTCTCTGAGAGAAGGGAGATCCTGAAAATGAGAGCTTCTTCCTGAATTCCCATGGAAAAGCTCTTACCATTTTTTCAAGGGAAAGGTGTGCCTACTTTGATCCAAAAATACTTTGGAAATACGTCCAAGGTGATACACACATCACTTATCATTCTGTGCAGGAGCCTGCCTTTCTGTTGATACTGTGATCGTCAGCAGCTCCTTCAGAGATAACTGTCCCTGGTACCAAGCCAGAGAGGCAGAAGCCAGAGAGGATTTTCCCCATTTCTAAGCCAGAACAGCTAAGCTGTAGGAAACCTAAGTGAGTTGCCCTAAATTGCAAAGGAGGCTAGTTATTGGTTGAGACACCAAGGTCATCCATTGCATCCCCAGCCATCATTAATTGTCTTGACTCTGGCCTGCCACTGGACTGTGGTGACTCTGAAGGAGAGAGAGAGGCTGACCACTTCGTGCAACTCTCACTTAAATCTAATTAATGCACGAATCAAAAGTTAAAAGAAAAAAAGTTTATTATTAGAGTGTAAGGATATCTAAAAATTAACACCCTAGCCGGTAAGATATTTTCGGTACAAGGAATACTTGAAAGCAGAAATAGTACTTGTTAGGCCATTTTATCCAAACTTTTAGGAAATGTTTATTCTTTTGCTCAGAACATTATTGAAAAGATGAAACTGTAAAAAAAGAAAAACTAAAGCTTGGATTTCATTCGATATCAGAAAATGGTTCCATGGAATAATGGAAGATTGTCATTTTACTCTTCCAGGAGCCATGTTTGATTCCACTGGTCTATGATATAAGAGTGAAGTGGACTAAGTATGGTTCCTTAGTGAATCCACAAGCCAAAATAGTCAGTGTTGCTGTGCAAATGATTTCATCTGCTTTTTCCAAGGTATGACTAATCTTTGCTTAAAGGGGGTCATGTGACATGTTTCAAAACACAAACATTGTATATATTTGCCAAGATCAGAAAGTGCGTTACGTGTATTATTCCTCCTTGAGCATTCAAAAACAGTTTAGTTATAATTTTTTTAATCTTTTTGTTTTGGGGAGGGAAGAATATTCATTAGTAACAGGTTTTATGCACAGTAAAACCTTTAAAAGACTTTAAAAGTAGGTTTTTGTTTTTAATTTTTTTGAAAATTCATCTAGGAATGCAAATAGACCAAATGTTTTATTCATTGAAACTTTGAGAAAAAAAAATTACCTTCTATCCTGCGTCTCAAAATGCTTTATTGGCTCATTTTATCTGTATTTACCCATCAGTGGTTTTATTTTAATAATTTTACTAAGCAAATAAAAATTATATTTCTCATCCACATTTACACTGTGAGTCAATCAAGCTGGGGATGGGGGGTGAGGGGTGGGAGTGGAGAGTCAACAACAGAGTGAAAAATTTCCCAGTCTCTGCTAACCCTGGCAGCTAGCACACCAGCTGTTCAGGACTTGTGTACCTCTTCCTTTTTCCTTTCAGACTGAGTTAGAACATGGAAGGACAGTACAGGTTTCTACCGTGGTTAGTTTTACTGATGTGTCTGCACCAGCAGAAGCCGGTTACAAGGCTCAGCCCACCATTGATGCCAAGCTGCCCTCCAATTTCTTCTTTCCATTTGCATGATGTAAGTAGTTACTAAATTCAGGAAATCCTGTGCTGCTGTCAAGTGTTGTTAGCCCTGAGAATTGTGGCTGTTGGGCTGATGATTCCCCGTGAGTCTGAGCGCCACACCGTTCCTCTGTTCCTTTCTGCCTTTGACTTCTAGAACATTCCTTCCCTAAGGTTTCTCTTGTTACTTCTCCCTGGGCTTTTCTTGATTTTGGCAAAGGAGGAGGTCCAAGAAGCTCATAGGATTTCCAGGCTTCAGGGGACCAGATCTGTGCCTGCTCATCGATGCAGTTCCTGTCTGTGTCTTCTCACAAATCCTACCAAGAGGAGCTGCCCGACATGGTGTAGGATAGAGAGCTGGCCCCTGAGTCAGGAAGACCCAGATACGAGTGCTGGTCTCTGACCCATCCTGGCTGCATGGCCATGGTCCAGTCACTTCACCTCTCAGGATCCCAAGATAGCAAGTGACAGAGTGAGGGTTGATTAGCATCAACTGAGGCGGTTTCTTCATTGGAGTTCCCCTACAGTGGTGAAATCAGATTTGGCTAAAACCCTCCAGATATTCCTTGAACACCAATGCAGCACTCAGGGAGGGAGACTTAGCTCTGCCTTGCCCAGACTGCATTTGAAGGCTTTCTTCAGTTTGGGGTACTCACTTTTAGGAAGGATGTTGACAAGCCAGTGCATGAATGTCTCATTGAGGCAGGCCAGGGTGCGGTGGAGTGAGGTCTGGAAACCATTTTTTTGCTGTTGTTCAGTCACTTCAGTTGTGTCCGGCTGTACGTGGCCCCATTTGGGGTTTTCTTAGCAGAGATATGGAAGTGTTTGCCCATTTCCTTCTCTACCTCATTTTACAGATGAGGAAATAGAGGCAAACAGAGTCACACAGCTTCTAAGTATCTGGAGCTAAATTTAAACTGGTGAAAATGAATCTTCCTGCCTCCAATCCTAGTGCACTTTCTGCTATGCCTGAAAACCATGCCATACAATAATTGGTTGAAGGAAGTGGAAGACTTAGAGAGCTTGGAGGGGGAGGCACAGATAGGATAGCTGTCTTTAAATATCTGAGGGATTGTTTTGTAGAAGAGAGATGCAATTTATTCTGGCTCCAGAGGGCAAAGCGAGGAGTGATGGGTGGAAGGTGTAGAGGCAGTTTTGTCTCAGTATAAAGTGACTTTCCTAACAGTCAAGTGTCCACAAATGTAATGCCTCAGAAAGTAGTTAGCTCCCCCCTCAGTGGAGGGCTTTAAGCAAAGCCTGCATGACCAGCTGTCAAAGATGTTTCGCAGCTAGATGCTGGGCCAGGTGACCTCAGAGCTTCTGTCTCCCTGGTTTTGTTTCAAAATGAGGTGATAGGCCAAGTAGGGTCCTGCCCAGCCCTGCAACATTTAGCCTTCATATTCAAACAAAACAAAAGGGGAAGAAAATTGACTCAGCATTGTGGGAAGGAATATGTTTAGGACAACCTGTTTGTGGGTTTGTCTTAGATAGAGGCAGCTGGCAGTGCCTTGAATAACATGCTGGGCTCAGGCTCATGAGGGCATGAGTTCAGAAGTCTGGCCTTAGACCCTTACTAGTTGTGTGACCCTGGGCAAGTCATTTAACCTCTGTTTGCCTCAGTTTCTTTGGCAATAAAATAAAGATAATAATAGTACCTTCCTCCCAGGGTGATAAATGAGATACTATTTTAAAATTGCTTAGCAGAGTGCCATATAAATGTTGCTTCTCCTTATTCTTAAGGAAATCCAACCCCTTAATTCATCCTCTGCTTTAACATCAAAATTACTTTAGAAGCAATAGCTGTTCAATTCAGGCTGTCCTTCCTTTTCTTTCCATATGCAAACAAGTACAAAAATAGTACAATATCATACAAAAATGTTAGAAGTATAATACAAAGGCTATAAAGAAAGCTCTTTGCTCGAATATCCCATTAATTGCAGTCTAGTCTTTGATCTAATTGCTATGTGCCATCCCAAGCCCAGCCCAGGAACACTCCTGGGATGCTACAGAATGGAGGTGGATTATTAGAGTTCATCATTATTGTGGCAAGAGAATCTAGGGGGAGGGCTCAGGCAAACCAGGCGGCTTCTCACGTACATTAATTGCGTGGTAGTTTCAAAAAATGTCAGACAGAGGCATAAATAAATACAATTAGATTCACACTGCATTTTTAAGCTGGTTGCTACAGAGGGTTCCTGAGCAACATCCATGGAAAGGCCCAAACTGCAGGAGGTCAGTGATAAGTAACAGGACACATGACCTTTCTGATTAGCTCATGAATAAAATGACCTTCCTGTAATCACCTGGAGTCTTAAGATAATTTTTTTTATTACTTTTGTCTTTCAGAATGTCCACAACTAGGGAATCCAGTGCTGAAATATATGTGAAACTATACATTTGGCAAAACTAAATTTCATACAAACCCATCCAGTTCTAGTATTCATTTTCAAACAAGTTTTTAGACTTTGGAAGATGAGAAAAGGTAGCTTATGAAGCATTTGTTGTCAAGGGAACTCTCTTCATATCAAGATAAAAAGACAGCTCTTAGGAGGAACTATGTAACATCTGGACATAATCAGACCTGATGAGAACAAGTAAAATGAAGGTTCCAGATCATTTCCAGAAATAACCCTGGAGACACCCAGGGTATTTCACAGACATGTACACGAGGCCAGTCATTCCCACAAGATGTTTCCTCTCCATGTGGTTAGGCAAATGTTGCATAGTTCAGCTACTGGAGAAGTCCATGATCTCTCAAAAGTTTGGTAAGTCTTTCAATTTCTTGTTCCTGTTTCAAAAACAGAGATCAACTTTACATTCTGAACATCCCTGACGCTCATACATGTAGTTACTGTTGAAACCATCAATCATCTATCTTACTTGAGGCTCTCATTTGTCTTACCTTCTCAGTGCAGCTGAATTCAAGATGCTGGATTTTCGTGGCCAGTTGATGATTAATCATTTTCAGCCTTGAGAGTTGTCGTTCAGAACGTGTCTTGACTGAAATAATTATGCCTAAAAATAATTCAGAGGGCCAGATTGTGACTTTGGGCATTAACATAATGAGTCCATTATACTTGATTTCTGATTTGCAAAGTACTTTCCATACATCACCTCGTCAGCCTTGTGAGATAGACAGGGCATTTAAGAAGTGAACCACCAATTCTGAGAATTTAAGACAAGTGCCCTTCGGGATCCAGGGCAGAACTCATCGGGCTGAGACATAAACTCAGGGGATCTGATGCTCCTGCAACCTCATCACAATTCCACCATCCACACAGACTCACAGATGTGTACTGTAGGCTAACGCACAATGCATTTGTTTGAGAGTTTCATTTTCTCCAGTCATTAATCATTAATTAAAGGCATGGAAACTCAGAGTGTCTGGCTTGAGCTTTTGAGCTGATCAAATGAAACTTCTGTAAGAATATGTTTAATGTCCAGTTTGAATTCATCCCCTGTTTCTTGTAGAGTATGAGAGGTTATGAAATTATATCATTGATGGGTTAGGCAAGCAAGGCCTAAAAGCACATGAACACAGTAGCCCAATGTTTCATCAACCCGAGAATGTAAACCATTGGAGGAAAGGACTCCCTATTCCTAACAACTGCTGGGAAATCTGGAGAGCTGGTTAGCAGAAAATAAATTTAATCAAATGGCTTATGTTGTATGCTTCAGTAAACTCCAAGTGAATAAGGTACAAACATAAAAACATAGATCATAACAAAAGTAGAGAACAGAACATGATAGGTAAATCTCACAACTTTGGCTATTGGGAGAACTCCTCACCAAATGGAGTGTGGGGGCACGGGTGGGGCAGGTCACCAAGGGCAAAGACAATTTTGACTGCATACAATTTTAGAAGCTCTTGTGCAAATCATATCAGTGCAATTTTAGGTAAGAAAAGATGCCCATCAGTGGGGAAGATCTTTGCACATCTGTAATAAAAGGCTGTATCCGAGATGTATAGGGAATCAATGCAAATATATGACTCAACATATTTCAGAAGAGAAGGTGGTCAAAGGATATGACCAAGAAGTTTTCAAAAGCATACAAGTGAGCTAACAACCGCCACCATGTGGAAAAATGTGCCAAACCATTAATAAGAGAAATGTCCGTTGAAACACTGAGGTGTTGTCTCATGCATCAAATGGACACAGAGGAGATAAGAGACTGAGACGGCTCTTGGAAGAGCTATGGGAAGACAGGCACAAATAACACACTATTAGTGGCACAGAATTGGCCCCATTCTTCTGGAAAACAACTTGGAAGAATGCAAAGTTACAAATTTCATGCTTGACCCAACTCCAGGGCAGATATTTTAAGGTGGCCAGAAAGAAAGGTCACCCAACAACAACAATAATAACAGCTAGGTGGTGTGGTGGGAAGTGCATGGGATTTGAAGTCATAATATGCCCGAGTTCAAATCCTGCTTCAACCACTTCCTAGCTGTGTGACCTGGGGCTAGCTACTGAGCCTCTCTCAGCCTAAAAAAAGAAAACAAAAACCAAACTACATTCTTTGTTTCAAGTTGCAAAAAGCCAGTGGAGGATGCCATATAGCTGTGCTGACTGAGTATACTACAAGTTGATGTCTGATTTCAGCTGGGGCCTCAGTACTGCATTGACCAATTCTCCTTTTCACAATTGACCCCATTATATTCCCCATAGCAGCTGTTCCTCAAGCCCCTGATGCTGACTCTTTCCCTTCTCAGCAGACCTCGCCTCATGCTTCACTGAAAAACCCGAGGCTGCCATGAGCTGCTTCTCTTCCCTGATTCCACGCTTTACGTCCCCTCATCATCATTCCCTCATCCCTTCCTTTGCTCTAGTCTCAGAGGAGGTGATCCCTGCCATACCAGAGCCTCTACTTGTGCCCCTGACTACATCCTCTCCTTTCACCAGGAGCTTGCTCCTTCTATCATTTCCTTGCCCTAATTTTCAACCTCTTATAAGCAGGCTCCTTTCTGGCCGTCTGTAAACATCCCTACATCTTCCTGTCCCTAAAAAATCTTCACATGACCTCACCGTCCCCTGAAACTGTCTTACTTCACTTCATATCTCCTTCGTTTCATGGCCAAACTCCTAGAAAAATCTTTCAACACAAGACTTCTATGTTTTTACCTCCATTTCACACTCTTGTAGTTTGGCTTCTGTCCTCACCATTCACTAAAAACTACTCTCTCCAAGGTCATCAGTTATAAGTTATATGCTAAATCTAATGACCTTTTCTTGGTCTTAATCCTTCTCAAAGTCAGGTTTCAAAGAATTTAAATTTTTTTTGAAATTAAATTTCAGTTTTTTCAATGAACAAAATCTTTTCTGTCCTTTCTACCTCCCCCTGCTCATTGGGGGAAAAAAAGAAAAGCAAAACCCTCCTAACAAATAAGCATAATCAGCCGAAATATGGCCAGTGTCCAAAAAATATGTCTTAATCTGCACGCTGAGTCCATCACCTCTGTGCTAGGGGATGGGCAGCAGGCTTCAACCTGGGTCCTCAGGAATTATGCAAATTGTGCAGTGACCAACTACATTTGGTTGGCCAAATAGATTTGGTCATTGCACTGATCAGAATTCTTAGGTGTTTGAAAGTTTTGTTTTTATAATTTTCATGTTCTATAAGTTGTTCCCCTGGTTCTTCTCACTCCAGTCTGTATCAGTTCATACAAGTCTTCCCAAGTTTCTTTGAAACCATCCACATTACCATTTCTTACAGAACAATATATTCCATCACATTATTCATATACCATAATTAGTCCATCTATTTCCCAATTTATGGGGAGTCCCCTCTCCCCTTTTTCCCCTCCCCCAATTAGTTTCCAGTTCTTTGCCTGCATAGAAAAAAAAAGCTGTTATAAATAATTTTGTACGTGTAGGACATTTTCGTATTTGATCTTTTTGGAGGTATACATTGTGTCAGTGGTATGCACAGTTAAGTAATTGCTTTCTAGGATGGCTGAATCAGTTCACAGTTCCACTAATGATGCATTAATGTATCTTTTCCCGCATCTCCACCGCTTTTGTCATACCCTTTTTTTATGGTCAAATCTCCTAATCTGGTGAGTGTAAGGTGGAACCTCAGTGATGCTTTAATTTTTCATTTCTACCTTTTAGTGATTTGGAGCATTCCCCTCTTTCTCCGCCCGATGGCAATTGATAGCTTGGATTTATTTCTTAGAAAATGCCTCTTTATATACTTTGACTATTTACTATATGGCTGAGGGCCTAAGAGTTTTTTTTGACATTGTTGGCCACTCCTTCCTGCTGGAAAATCTTTTCCCACTTGGTTTTTGTGACAGATCTGTCATTTTCATCCTACTTCTCTGACTAATTCTCAGTTTCCTTTGCAGGGTCACCAGCTATGTCTGATCCATGTCATAGGGGTATATTCAGTCTTGGACTCTTTCCTCTTTTCCACAGTATCTCTTTAGGTGATCTCATTAGTTTCTATGGATTGGACTGTTATCTCTATGAAGATGACTCACAAATCTACATATTCAGTTCTCCTCTCAGCTCCATTTCCTCATCTCCTGATGGATATCCATCTTATATGGAGAGAGTGTTGGGTTTGGAGTGAAGACTTGAGTTAAATCTTGCCCTGCACACTTACTAGCTATGTAACTCCTGTGCTTAAGTACACTGCCTGGCACCATGGTTAATAATTGCTTATTGACTTGACTTGTTGACTGGATAGGGTCATGGGAGCCATCTCCAGGTGTCCTGATCTATATCTGGCCACTGGACCCAGACGGCTCTGGAGGAGAAAGTGAGGTAGGTGACTTTGCACAGCCCTCCCTCACTTAAATCCAATTCACTTTCAAGTCATGGCATCATCTCCCTGATGTCATGGTTCTATTTGAGGATGAAGGACAAACCACAACCTGTGAGGAGCTCTGTAGAGGAAAACTTAGCTTGTTTCAAATTGAAAATGGGAAGGATGATAAAAATAGAATTCAAAGAGTTTTGAGCTGAAAAGGAAGGGGGGGGGGAGAAAATGATTACATATCCACCCAACTAGCTATCACATAGAGCAGCTGCAATGCAGGAAGAGGAGCCATAGAAAAGGCCAGAAATGAAAATTCAAGAAAGGCCTGGCTAGACACAAATGTACAGATTTGATAAACAAGGGGAACTAGAAGTGAACATAAAGAGGCACATTTGCTGTGCTAGGCCATGGGGTATCACTGGCCCAATGACAGGAATAGGGTTCTAAAAGGCTGTGCTTTTTTTTTTTTTTAAAAAAGAACAAGATATACCTTATTCAAAGGACATTATCTTATTCAAAACATAAAGTAAATGGTTTGGATTAGCATCCTATGTTAATAATATGCACATTCACGAAGAAATCCAGGAATCTGAGGGGAAAAGCACGGCAAAAAGCTTTTGGAGAAAGATCAATGGATGAAGGAACAATTCCTCTTGTCTTCAGCCTATACTATAGACCACCTGGGCAGAAAGAGGAAATAGAGGAGTAGTTTGGGAAACATCACAAGCCTGGCAAGAAGCCATGGCATAGTAATGATGGGAGATTTTATTATTCAGACATCTGCTGGGCTGTTTGTTCCCTCTGTCCAAAGAATAGTAATTAATTTCTCTTTTTACATTAGTGATCATTTCATTCCTTAAAAGGCGAGAGAACCAGTGAGGAGAATTTCTGTTCTGGAACTGATTTTCACCAACAAAACAAGTAGTTAATAGTCAATAAACGTTTATTAAGTGCCTACTGTATGCCAGGCATTGTGCTACGTGCTGCAGATACAAATACTAAAAAGAGAGAGTGCCTTCCCTCAAGGAGTTTACATTCCAACACACAAAGCTGAAAGTGTGGGTGGGAGGGGAGGTACCTGGCACAGGGGCATGGTGGAGAAGTCAAAGGAGTCCAAAATAAGTGCAGCTGGAGAAGACAAGGAACTGGCTGCTAGGGCAGAGACGATGAGGACCTTTGGAGGAAACACCCACTCCATGTTAGAGTTTGTGACAGACAAGAGAGGAGAAACAGGAATGGTCTGATGTGCA